CGCTATTCAAATCACCAAAATTCAGAGTCCAAAGGCTAGTGGGAAAGGGTCAGAAGATGAGTGACAGAACCAGGTTGGTCGGGCCTGCAGCCTCAGTCCGCCTGGTGCCCGGAACTGCTGGCCAGCTCGATCCGGATTGAGGGTGGGGTGGGTTGGGAGTTTGCCTTAAAGTCCCAGACAACAAACCTGGTGTCCAAGAGGAGGAATGGTGAGGATGCGTGGAGATTCAGAAGGGTTGGGCCTGCAGCCTCAGTCTGCCTGGTGCCCAGAACTGCTCCTGGGGGGTAATTTCTCACTCTCTGTCTCTCTCTGTCTCTCTCTGTCTCTCTGGCGAGCGCACACGCCCTATAGCAAAAACCTCTCTTAAAAAAAAAAAAAAAAAAAAGCCCCAGAAAATACATTCAAATAAAAGCTACAAAAATATGCAGCAAGCATAAGCATAACCTGTTGATTTCTTAATAGTATGTTCATATAAGTTTTCGACTTATAATTATGACATTGAGTCAGGCCATTTACATATATAATTATACACACACATATTTCATATTAACAGCTATGAAACATTGTTTATTTCAACACTATCATTACCACAGATATCATAGAATATATATTTATGGGCCAGCAAGTAGCATGGTCATTAAGGGGCTGGATCCCACATGGTTGGCTCCATGTTTAAACCTAGAACCCAGCATCTTCCAAAGTATGCCGGACATGTGCTTAATCTCTCTGAGTAAGTTTCTTCATAGATCAAATAAGATCTTTGTCACACGGCTGTTTCAAAACTGCGGTGAGGTAGACCATGTATAAATAAAGCTATTACAGTGTTTTTCCCATAGTCACTCCAGAGTTAGCAGCCAGTGTGTTTTTTCTTTTTCTTTTTTTAAAGAATTATTTAATCTTATTTATTCATTTTATTTGACCAGAGAGAGAGAGAGGATGAGGAAGAGGAGAGAAGAAAAGTCAGAAAACAAGCTAGAAAGTCAGGGACTTGAACCATGGTCGGCCATGTGGGAGTGTCCATGTCCAGTGCCTTAACCAACATGCCACCTTCTGGTCCCACTGATGTGTTTTTCTCTGAGAACTGAAATCTTTTCCCCATATCAGCTGCTATTCAATCAGCTGCAGTGTTTTTGGTTCATCCTTTTATGCATCCTGCTCCATTCCACTTTAATGAAAGCTATGATTTAAGACATAACCAAAGCCAACTCTAAATTATATTGCAGTTTCTGAACTTTACTTAAAATATATTCATATATGCACACACACACACACATATACATATATATAAGATTCAGTTAAAAGTAAAGAAATCAACACATTTTTATTTGTTATTTATTAGGGGATATATTGAAACATCATGCAGATTATAATTAACATTTATGCACAATTAAAACATAATTTTATAATTCAAAATTTACCCTCCCTCCACTTATCTCTTTTTATGTGATAAATTTTTAAATTAATTAAAGACCTCTTTTAATAAAAAACCTTTGAAAAGTCATCCAAAAATATTTTGCATACTCTTAGTCACAAGCTGATTAATTATATACCACATTTGTGTCTGCTTTCACTAGACTACATAATATTGAAACTTAATTTACTAATGAAATTGTAATTTTGTTCCTTAGTTAATGAAGGGAAATAGATAAGGCAGATACACATATTACTTATTGTTATCAATTATGTGCTGAAATTGAAATCTCAATGTTCTTTCAGGGACTCCTGAGGATTACCCACGATTTTTCCATATGCACCCTAGGACTGCAGAACTTAGTCTCCTGGAGCCAGTAAACAGAGACTTTCACCAGAAATTTGATTTGGTTATTAAGGTAAATTAAGCTAATGTCTTATTTCCTTGTGAATATTAACTGCTAATCAAAGAAACCTGTAGAGACTACTCTAAGCACTTCTATGTTATAAAAATTAGAATTAGTATGGACAGCAATGAATCACCTTTTTGTTAGAAAAAGAACAAGTATGGTTATAGCACATTGCATTGCTTTTCTCTAAAATAACTTTTTCTAGTACTATGTGGTAAAATACTAAATATATTTATATGTAATAAATACCCTGGTCAAATATATATCATTTTACATAATTTAGTATACATTCTGATGTTTTTTTCTTTACAAAAGGGAATTAGTTTTTATCCCAAAATCATAGCCAGTATGTTTAAATAGTGCTTCATTTGTGTTTGTTATTTTAATAGTGAAATTTTTTAAAATGCTGGGGTTTTTTTCTAATATAAAAATGAAGTCTTCCTTGTCCAGAGATTCTTTGGATATACATCACATTATTTTATTTATTTTGAAAGATGATCCTAGACCTGAAAAGTTTGAAGACTTAGGGTAGTCTAGTTGGCATAACAACTTTGGTTTAATAATATCTAATATATTATCATGAAATCATGTAAGAGAGAGCGTAGAAACCCAGGTGCTGTTTCGATTAATTCTCTTGGCCTTCATTGAAAAGGATAGAGTTAAGCTGGGCAAGAATGGAAGACTAGAAATTGACCAAATGGAGATCAGGAAAAGGGCATCGTAAGAAAAAATAAATAAATAGATAAATAGCTAAAGAAAGAATCAAAGATACAGAGTAAGTCTAGGGTATGCTGCATAGTTCCTTCATATCTACATATAAGAAAGCAATTAGTCTTAGAAATGCAGACCTGGGTATTTTCTTAACCCTATTCTTTCAATTTAAAACTATTATAGGAAAAGGAAAAAGGTGAGTAATCTTACTAAGCATGCACATTTTACATGCTTCTCTATGTAAATTATTCATTGAATCGTCATGATCTTAGTAGTATGCACATCTTACAAAATTCAGTACTAAAGCTCAGATCAGGTAAATGATTAGCTCAGTGTTGCATAATTAGTAAGGGGCAGGATTATGATTCAAATTGAATTTAATCTCAGCTAAAGCTTTGTTCTTTTCACTTCACGAATATGCAGTTGCTTAGAAATTGTCATGGTTTAACTATCTGTCAGCCCCATTGCAAACCCTATTATGTACCCATGCATTTAATTTTAGCTCAAATTATGAGATACAGTCTTAGCACCAATTATAGCCTATTACCAGAACCTGTGTTAATTTAATGAAGACTATGAAGAATTTGTAGTCTGAAAAGAGAAAGAGTCATATAACAGATAAATCAAATGTAACATATCAAGTTCTAACAGGGAAACATGTAAAACATGTCAACAAAATACAGAGTAGAACAATTTCAATCAATCTGCAGACTCAGGGAAGATTTTTCTGGAGATTACTTCACACTAAATATCAGATTGAAAAGTTTTGGCCAATGAATAAAAGTGGGAAATATGTTTGAACATAAGGAGGAACAGAAGTAAAAGCTTGGAGGCATAACTTACCAGCTAACAGGGAAATGAGGTATAGAGCCAGACTATGGAGAGATCCTCATGGACAAGCAGTTTTGCAGTTGCAGTGGATTTCATTTGGTTAGGGGCTGGGAGTCACTTACCAATGAAACACTCATTTCCTATTTGTAAAAAAAAAATGGCCATGCATGAGATTTATCTTTCTGCATTGACTCTCTTTTCTTTTTAATTAGTAATTATTGTTGGACTATATGAAACTCACAACTGTGTATCCATTGTCTACTGTGGATGGTCCTGGAGCTCTGTGATAACTGCTCTCTGTGGGAGTTAAACTTGACAAAGCAATTTCCAAACTGCCCCAGATGAAACCAGAAATCAATTATTTTTCTTTATTTTCAAAGTCAGCTGTCCAGGTGTACCTGGGTACAATGCACTGAGTCAATTATGGGGGGGGGGGACCAATTAGAAGAGACTGTAGATAATTTTTTAAAAAAATTTTAATAACACCTTATATTATTAATGGAAGTTTTTACAGACATTATTTGATTGAAATTACCCTGCTTTGTGTGCAGCTGAGGGGATAATAAGCATAGGTATCAATCTGAAAGAATAATCATGTGCCACCTGCTTGAATGATAGCTGAGTATTGTGGCATTGTTCAGGGACCCACTGAAACGCTACAATCTGGCAACTCTTCTCAGTAGTAAGTTTTTCAACGTCTTCCCTTTTCCTTATGTCAATAATGCTTCCTTTTTCATTGGCCATCACAGATTTTGTTGGACTTGATCCCAGTTTCTGTTTTGGAAGCTGAGAAAATAAATAAAATAAAATATCTTTCATAGACTCTGAAGAATTCTGCTGGAAAAAAAAAAAAAGCTATGTGTGCATTTAACAGCTGGTGAGTGCCACAAATTAGCGATTTATCAGCTCCATTTTTTTCCCCCTGTTTCCACCAGTAATTTATTCAGCATGCTGACAAGTAATATGTAAAGGTGAAACAAGGAAGACAAAATGGGCTAGTGCACAAACTTCAGATGTTAAAATGTTAAAACATCTCCATTTGAAAAGGCTGTGCCATTTCAAAACACTGCATTCAGTTTAAGCACTTCTAATCATGTAAGCACAGTTTAAAATGTGACTTACGCAATGAACAAAAATTAGACATTTGCTTTGCCTGTGATAGTTCACATTTATGCCTATTGCCCTTGTGTAATTATTTAGAATACTCTTTCACCCTCAAAAATATCCCAGGTTGGATGATAAATCTCTGCACTCTTAAAAAAAAACCTATGAGACAGAAATATGAAAGCACATATGAGATGCTAAATGATAGTGAATTAGTTCATGTATAGAACATCTGTACCGAAGTTCAAAAGTTTACTTTTGTTATTTTAAGTACAGTCTTTTTAGGAGTCCTAGTTGATACATTTATATTCTAGGCACTTAACATGAAGCTACTAAACTTTAATTATTAAAACAGACTAAATGAGTAAATTATTAATAATTCACTGTTAGTTTGCCAAAGAACAATTGCATTTTTAAATCTAAATCCTTTTGATTAACAACTACTAACACGAGTCACAATGAAATCACAAATATCATTGTATTGTGGTCTTTTTGATCTTCATGCTGCTATTCAGTGACCCACTTATGCAGTCTAACAGGCTGGCCTTTGCCTTCTTTTCTTTCCAAACCACAGGTGTGTTAACCCTAAACCTTCATCAGTGACCTTGCAGCCCACTGAACAACTGCTGTGCCATAAACTCACCAAGCTCTTCCTAGCCCCCAAATGCAGATACTGTCCCTGCCCCTGCTTGATTGACAATAGTCTAATTTACATTGATTTGCCGCCCATTGATTCTTCAGTTTTCAACTAAGAAGCTAAGACCTTTCCTCTGGAAAGGCATAACTGCTGATCAGAAGCCAGTTCTTGTACACATTTGCCCTAGTAGTGGCTCCAATCACTTGATGTTGAATTTCCCTGTTTAGTCTCTCCTGACCTTTGTAAGAGGCCGGAATGCAATATATTTCTTCCTAGGCCTCCAACACTACCTACCTACCTTTGAGCACATAGAAGATGCTCAGTAAGTATCTGTTGCAGTTGTTTTCTCCCTGGCACAGTAAATATTTTAAGATAGCTGAATTTGAGTATCTATATCGTAACTCTATTTAAATACATATGTTAGAGAGAGTATGTATTTGGTATAATTTTATCTTGTATCTCTGTTCAGAAAAAATAATTAGAGGAGCCAGCAGGTGGCATGGTGGTTAAGGTGCTAGACATTCCCACATGGCCAATCACGGTTTGAGTTCTGGACATGGTGGCTTGCTTTCTCACTTTTCCTTTCTCTCTCTCTGCATCTCTCTCTGGTCAAATTAAAATAAATGAATAAATAAATAAAATAATTATAAAAAAAATCAGAGGGCATTTGTGCCTGTTAACGAGGGAGGGAATGAGGGAGAGAGAGAAAAAAAAAAAAGAGAGATAAAGCACACCCTGGTGGGAGATATATATTACTCTGCAATCTTGCCTCCTCCATTTGTCCATCCTTTTGGGATTTGGGGCATACATACGCAGGTACCCAGTATGTTTTTCAAGCTACCAGGTCTGAATCATGCATTTGGCTATTGGGATCTGATGCCCTTAGCCACTAGGCCATGGGGCCAATCCAGTGATATTTTCAAGTAAATCCAATCCCTGGATAACAGGTCTGAGATGGCACAGGTAAAGATGCTGTTATTCCACACAGATTTCTCTTCCCATATGTCCCCACCCAGTTACTTATAAAATCCTATCCAGATGCTTCTAGAATTTTTCAACATAGAAAATGAGTCAGCGAATTGAAACTAGTGAGCTTGACTATTAGTTCTGATGTGCCACCAGCAAGGTGCTTCACTTCAGTCATTACAGTTTTAGGAAAACAGCACCTAAGAAATCATTGAGGCCTAAGAGAATAGTTACTTTAACCCTTGACCCTGTATGAATCTCTAATGACTAACTAATGAGTCTCTAATTTCCAACTCTAGAACATGTTTAGCCGCTATCTGAATAATGACATTGCTATGATTTGAGTGTCCCCACCACGAACTTTCACTGCAACTTTACACTCAATGCAGCAGTGTTGGGAGGCGGGGCCTAGTAGGAGGTCTAGGAGGAGGATCTCTTCTGGCTAGGAAATTGCAGTCTCCTGGAAGGAATTCTCCTTTATAATTTCTATGGGCACAGGTCATAAAGCAAGCCAGTTGTTCAAATATTTCTGGTTTTATGAGAGCTTGCTGGCCTTTCTGCTTTTCTGCCTTGGGGTGAAGAAGCGTGTGATCCTCTCTAGTTGAGTAGATGCTGGAGCCAGGCTTTTGGAATTTCTGGCTACTAGATTTATAAGCCAAAGAAGTGTTCTTTTATAAATGACCAGGTCTCATGTATTCTGTAACAGCAGCAGTAATGACAGAGACAGGTATCAATTACATGTACAGGAATTCAAAGGAAA